ATTTTTTTTTTCCTCAGCGCCGTTGTAACTTTGAACGGCCCCTAAACGAACGGTTGCCAGTTGTAAGCTCATCCCGGAATTTCTGTGGCTAAACCAAACAGTGGTTAAACGAATCGTGTCCGTCGTTAAGTGAATCCCGGCTGTTAAACGAGTCACACGGTCATTAAGTCAATCTGGCTTCCCCCATTGACTTCCCCCCCCCCGGTCATTGAGGTGGCAACGGGATCGCGTGACACCCCCCCCACGGGACACCGCGACCGTCGTAACTACGAGTCCGTTACCAAGTGTCCGGATTTTGATCCTGTGACCCCCGGGAAAAATGCCGCGGAGGTCGTTAAGTGTGAAAAACGGTCCTAAATCACCTTTTTCGCTGCCGTTGTAACTGTGGTCACTAAACAGTTGTAAGTTGATTGGGAATATGAGCCGATTGCGAAGTTTCTGGATTTGGATCACGCTACAACGGACGCTAAGCGTGAAAGACGAGTCGTAGGTCACGGTTGAATGTTGGTAGTTTCATTAATAATATAATAATAATAATAATAATAATAATAATAATAATAATAATAATAATAATAATAATAATAATAATAATAATAATAAAAAAGTTGGAAGGGACCTTGGAGGTCATCTAGTCCAACCCCCTGCTCAGGCAGGAAACCCTAGACCATTTCGGACAAATGGTTGTCCAGTCTTTTCTTAAAAACGTCCAGTGTTGGAGCATCCACAGCTTCTGGAGGCAGGTAGTTCCACTGGTTAATTGTTCTAACTGTCAGGAAATTCCTTCTTAGTTTAGGTTGCTTCTCTCCTTGGTGAGTTTCCATTAGTTTCCACTTAATGAACTGTTGTAAGTTGAGGAGTACCTGTGACTGGACTTTCAGGATTCCTTCCAGTGGGAGGAATGTTCACAATGTAGAAAGGGTGCTGTGTGTGTTCACCCTCTCGTTGCTACTGTGAGTTGTGCAAACTTTCCACTCCTAGCCCGGTGTGTTTCCGAAGCCGGAAAGACTCGTTTGGCCAACGTGTAACATGATAAAAACAACCCTGTTTACATCACGGCGGTTACGCCAGCCGGGTTGTGCCAGCCCTCGGCCCTACGGAGGCTGCATTGTGTTCCGCCGTAATAACGGGCAGTCCTCGCTTTACGACTGCGACAGAGCCTCCAAATCTCCATTGCTAAGCAGACCAGGGGTGGAGTGGGTTTCGCCCGGCTTTACGATCTTCCTTGCCACCATTGTGACGTGAATCGCGGCACATTGTTAAGGGGGTCATTTGGTCACTAAGTGAATCTGGCCTCCTCCTTTGGCTTGGGTCGCGAGGGGTGATCCCATGACCTTCCAGCGGTGCAACCGTCGTAAGTACAGGCCAGTTGCCGAGCAATCTGCACTTTGATCGCCCGGCCGGGGATGGTGCAAGTGTGAAAAACCATTTTTTTTCACGGCTGTCACTAAACGAACGGTCGTAAGTCAAGGACTACCCCTAGTAAAAGAGCTACGTATTTATAGGTGCTATTGTCGAAATCCGAGGTGGGGAACTACGGCTTTATATGGTTTGTGGACTTCAACTCCCAGAATTCCTGAGCCAAAAGGTCCCCAACGGCTGGCGCAGGAATTCTGGGAGTTGAAGTCCGCAAGTCATGAGGGGGCCGTTGTTTCCCAACCGCACCCCTTGATCTATGTACTATCTGACTAAAATACTCGTCCCCGTAACTTTTAGCCTAGTGAAATGTTACACCGTGTGGCAAATTTTATACAACATTGTGTGGCGTAAGCCTTATCACAAATCATTTTATGACATAAGGCAAACCATCATAAATCATTTCCTGCGCTGGTCTTTGTGCTGTCTCTCTCTCTATATGTATGTGTGTGTGTTTCTGTATATATATGTGTGTGTGTGTGTATACAGACACACACAGAGTTCAACATGGGCTACTTTCAATTCAGATCAATATCTCTGAATATCCGTTTTCCAGTGAAGGCAGTTCAGTTAGTCCTCGGTTTACGACCACAGTTGACCCCAAATTTTATGTTGCTAAGTGAAACATTGGTTAAGTGAGCTTTGCCCCATTTTATGACCTTTCCCGCCACAGTCGTGAAGTGAATCATGGGCAGTTGTTCGGTGAATGACACGGTTGTTAAGTGAATCTGACTTTGGTGGTGGGAAGGTCGCAAAAGGGGATCACATGACCCCTCCTCCCAGGACACGGCGACCGTCATAAATTGAGTCAAAAGCACCTGAACTTCGATGCTGCGACGGTCGTAAGTCTGGAAAACAGTCCTAAGTCGCTTTTTTCATCGCTGTTTGTAACTTTGGACGGTCACTAAATGAAGCGTTGTAAATCCAGGGCTACCTGTAGCGTTTCCTTCATTTTTTTAAATCTCATTTTCTTTTCAAGTTGCAACGGTTAACTTCGGTTACGTTTCTTTGGGGAACAGATATTGTGGTTTGTGTGTGTGGTGTGTGTGAAAAAAAACAGTTTCACTCTGGCTGGAAACCTTTGCCGCCTTGAACAAAATGTGCCTTGCTTAGTTGTCGGAGAGATCAGCCACCCTGGTGTTGCCATAAAAAGCCTCTTGTGCAGGCAACGTGCGTACTAATTCCCCGTCGGTACAATGCTACTTGCAGAGGTAGTAAGTAAAGTAAAACTGTCTACTTTCTAAGTCAGTCTGAACCCATCTTGGCCACTTTGAAGAGGGGTGGACTTCAACTCCCAGAATCCCCCCTGCCAGCATGTTGAGGTCCACCCCTCTTCAAAGGCTGGCTGAGAATTCTGGGAATTGTAGCCCACCCCTCTGAAAAGTAGCCAAGATTGGGACCACACTGACTTAGAAAGTGGATAGCAACTTTAAGAGGGGTGAACCAACTCCCAGAATCCCCCCTGCCAGCATGTTGAGGTCCACCCCTCTTCAAAGGCTGGCTGAGAATTCTGGGAATTGTAGCCCACCCCTCTGAAAAGTAGCCAAGATTGGGACCACACTGACTTAGAAAGTGGATAGCAACTTTAAAAGGGGTGGACTTCAACTCCCAGAATTCCCCAGCCAGTCTTTGACGATGGATGGACTTCAACATGCTGCCCAGGGGTATTCTGGGAGTTGAAGTCCACCCCTCTTAAAGTAGCCAAGATTGGCACCACACTGCCTTAGTAAGTGGATAGCAACCTCAAGAGAGGTGGACTTCAGTTCCCAGAGTCCCCCACCTGGCATGTTGAACTCTACCCGTGTTCAAAGGCTGGCTGGGGAATTCTGGGAGTTGAAGTCCACCCATCTTCAAAGGCTGGCTGGGGAATTCTGGGAATTGTAGCCCACCCCTCTTAAAAGTAGCCAAGATTGGGACCACACTGACTTTAGAAAGTGGATAGCAACTTTAAGAGAGGTTGACCAACTCCCATAATTCCCCAGCCAGCCTTTTAAAATGGGTGGTCTTCACAACGCTGCCTGGGGAATTCTGGGAGTTGAAGTCCGCCCCTCTTAAAAGTAGCCAAGATTGGGACCACAGTGCCTTACAAAGTGGATGGCAACTTCAAGAGAGGTGGACTTCAAATTCCCAGAATCCCCCACCTGGCATGTTGAACTCTACCCATCTTCAAAGGCTGGCTGGGGAATTCTGGGAGTTGAAGTCCACCCCTCTTAAAATGGCCAAATTAGGAGCAAGAGAGAGAGAGAGAGAGAGAGAGAGGCAGACATTTCCCAGGATTAGCAATAACAATTTAAGTACAGTATTTAAATTGGAACAGCAAAGGGAGAAGCCCGCAGGAAACTGGCTGGAAACCTCATCTTAATTATCCAGACTTCCTGTTTTTCACTTAGATATGGCAGTATAAATAGTTGTTCATCAAACCTAAAGCCATACACTTCCTACTGGAAACTGCCAGTGCCACACAGGCCTGAGTAAACATTTCACAATCCTAGGAACCCGTGTGTCATTTCTAGGCCGCAAGCTATCTGGAGAGGTTCCAGAACTGGCTTCCAGCTGGACTTTTATTCCATTCGAATTAATCTTCGGCTATTTCAACTGGGCATACTGGTTTTTACTCACAGTTGGGGAGCCACAGTCAACGCCAGCCAGGCCAGAATAGGGTGTGAGCCTACTGCTGTTGTGGTGTCTTATGGAAAATCTGTTTTTCTGGGAATTTGGTGTGCTGGTTGAAAGGGCGTTTTGGCAGGAGCGATGAGCCACAACCCACCGGAGGCCTTCAAAATTCAGATCGGAAGGACGGGGTTCAACTGGCCAGGCCTGTGCCAAGGCTTTGCTGTTTTGAACGGCCAATAAAGAGAGTCCTCGGCTTAACGACTACCCTTCGGCCTCGCGTTTCTGTTGCTAAGCGAAGCAAGAAGCAACGGATGGAAACTCATCAAGGAGAGAAGCAACCTAGAACTAAGGAGAAACTTCCTGGCAGTCAGAACAATTAACCAGGGGAACCACCTGCCTCCAGAAGCGGTGAATGCTCCAACACTGGAAGTCTTTAAGAAGAGACTGGACAGCCATTTGTCCTAAATGGTCTAGGGTTTCCTGCCTGAGCAGGGGGTTGGACTAGATGGCCTCCAAGGTCCCTTCCATCTGCTATTCTGTTATTCTTTTTTTCCCCCTTCCTTTCTTCTTTCCTTCCTTCCTTCCTTCTTTCCTTCCTTCCTTCCTTCCTCCCTCCCTCCCTCCCTCCCTCCCTCCAACACTGGAAGTTTTTAAGAAGAGACTGGGCAGCCATTTGTCTGAAATGGTGTCGGGCTTCCTGCCTGAGCAGGGGGTTGGACTAGATGGCCTCCAAGGTCCCTTCCAACTTTATTATTTGTTAAGTGAATTTTGCCCCAGTTCACGACCTTTCTCGCCACCTCAGTTGTTAAGCTAGTGACACGGTCGTTAAATGGATCTGGATTCCCCCCCCCCCTTGACTTTGCTTGTCAGAAGGTCCCAAAAGGGGATCACGTGACACCCCCCCCCGCGGGACACTGCATACCTATCATAAATACGAGCCGCTTGCCAGGGGTCTGAATTTTGATTACGCGGCCATGGGGATGCGGCCACGGCCGTAAGGGTGAAAAAAACGGTCAGAAGCCACTTTTTTTCCAGCGCCGTTGCAACTTCGAATAGTCGCTAAACGAACCGTTGTAAGTCAAGGACTGCAGGGGGGAGGAGGTTGGACCGGAAGTCGAATTTGGCTCTTGGTGCATTTTCGACGTGAAAAATCTCCCCCCGGTTCTTGGCCTGCACTAAAGGAGAAGAGGAAAAAAGGAAAAATGGAATGAAGGGGACGAAGAAGGGAGGAGGAGGAGGAGGAGGAGGAGGAGGAGGAGGAGAATTGAGGGGTCCTTGGTGCTCTCTGAGCTTGTTTCCTGGCAGACCTCTCATGACCCAACTATGTAACGTCATCAGTACTAGAAGGAAGGGGATTTAGGAAGTGGAAAAGGAGGAGGGAGGAGGAGGAGGAGGATAGTGGAGTCCTTGGTGCTCTTTGAGCTGGGTGGTTTTCTTGCAGACGTTTCATGACCCAACTAGGGAATAGCATCAGTGCTAGAAGGGAGTGGAAAGGAGAAGGAAGGAAAGGAGAAGGAAGGAAGGAAGGAAGGAAGGAAGGAAGGAAGGAAGGAAGGAAGGAAGGAAGGAAGGAAGGAAGGAAAATAACTGTGGGGTCCTTGGTGCCCTCTGAGCTGGGTGTTTTTTTTGCAAACGTTTCATGACCCAACTAGGGAACATCATCAGTGTTAGAAGGAAGGGGATTTGGGAAATGGAAAAGGAGGAGGAGGACTATGAGGTCCTTGGTGCTGTCTGAGCTTGGTGGTTTTCCTGCAGACATTTCATGACCCAACTAGGGAACATCATCAGTGTTAGAAGGAAGGGGATTTGGGAAATGGAAGAGGAGGACTATGAGGTCCTTGGTGCTGTCTGAGCTTGGTGGTTTTCCTGCAGACATTTCATGACCCAACTAGGTAACATCATCAGCGCTAGAAGGGGTTTGTTCATTCTGATCCAGGTTCAATTTTCTGTTCCCAGGCTCAATTCCTATGAAGAATTTTAGGGATAAAAAGAGAGGCTTTTTTTGTGTGTTTTTTTGTTTATCTCCTTTTTGCCTGTCCTTGCTTTCAGCCCTGTCCTTGAAAGCCTGTTTGGAGCAGTCTTTTTTTTCTTTTTCTTTCTTTTTTAACAAAAAAGCACTTCTGCATTCTCCTCCTCCTCCTCTCTCCCCCCCCCCCCAAATTGTCTCAAGAAAACTGAAATCAGCAGCTGCCCTCTCTGAAAATAACACAACTATTGTCTAGCGAGGGCCCGGTTTCACAATTGGCACAATCCGAGCTTCGGGGGGGATGTTTCTTTCAGCGGGTTATTTGAGGCCAAAGGAATATTTTTCGATTCAAAACAGCTTTTTTTTTTTCTTCCTTTTTTTTGGGAGGAGGGGGGTGTTAACTGGGCTTTTGCATGACTTTTTCCTGTGGGTAAATGGAGGGGAGGGTGGTGGGGGGCAGATTGGCAAGTCTCTTTGTATTTTCCAGTTCGTTGTTGTTGTTTTTTTCTCACGCTGTCTGTGAATTCTGATAGCTCTTGCAGAGAAAGTCTTTTGTGGATCAGTCAGGGAAAATTGATGGCTGAAATAGAAGAGGGAGTCCGTTGGGGAAAAAAATAATAATAATAGGAAAATCGAATAGCAGGTAGGAAATATCAGCAGGGGCAGCTTCTTAAAATACCTGGAATTGCTTTTGAATAAGAGGGACGTGAGGCAGGACCCTCTGAAACAGGGGTCTTCCAACTTGGCCCTTGGATGACTTGTGGACTTCAACTCCCAGAATTCCTCAGCCAGGCACGCGTGCCTGGCTGAGGAATTCTGGGAGTTGAAGTCCACAAGTCATCCAAGGGCCAAGCTGGAAGACCCCTGCTCTGAAATTCTGCAATCTGCACCCTTCAGAGAGTAATAGCTGCATATCATCCCAGCTTTGGGGCAGTTGTCCAATACATCACCCCAATCCAGGCTATTCCAAGTTACCTGACTTATTTACTGTACTGTAGTCATGTTTTTCAACCTCGGTAACTTTGAGATCTATGGACATCAACTCCCACAATTTCTACAGCCAGCGGGCATTAAAATGGCTGGACCTCAGCTCCCAGAATACCCCAGGCAGTAGGCTGTAGGATGAGTTGACTTCAATTCCCAGAATTCCCCAGCCAGAATGCTTTAAGATGTGTGGTCTTCAATTCCCAGAATTCCCCAGCCAGAATGTTTTAAGATACATGGCCAACTCCCAGAATTCCCCAGCCAGCATGCTTTAAGATGGGTGGACTTCAACTCCCAGAATTCCCCAGCCAGCCTGCTTTAAGATGTGGGGCCTTCAATTCCCAGAATTCCCCAGCCATCTTGCTTTAAAATGGGTGGACCTCAACTCCCAGAATTCCCCAGCCAGCATACTTTAAGATGTGGGGCCTTCAATTCCCAGAATTCCCCAGCCAGCCTGCTTTAAGATGTGGGGCCTTCAATTCCCAGAATTCCCCAGCCAGCATACTTTAAGATGTGGGGCCTTCAATTCCCAGAATTCCCCAGCCAGCCTGCTTTAAGATGTGGGGCCTTCAATTCCCAGAATTCCCCAGCCAGCATGCTTTGAGATGGGCGGACTTCAACTCCCAGAATTCCCCAGCCAGCCTGCTTTAAGATGGGGGGGCCTTCAATTCCCAGAATTCCCTAGCCACCATGTTTTAAGATGTGTGACCTTCAATTCCCAGAATTTTCCAATGGGTTGGGGATTTCTGGGAAGTTCAAGTTTATCGCTCTTGCAAAGTTGCCAAGATTGAGAAACCTTGCTGTCTAGACTGTGTGAACGAGGCCCAATTGTGTCTCTTTATTATTGCTCGAGAGTTCCCAGTTTGGAAATTCGGGCGTTAGGAAAAGCTAGCGAGTTTGACGGGAAACCGAGGTTCCGTCCCGGTGGCCCATTTCCAAGGACGCTGACTTCTGCCATTTTGCTCAAGAGAGATTTCTGGAGCCCCGCTTGGATCTTCTGCAGAGAGCAGACGGGCTTATTCCTCTGTCTTCTTCGATTTTTCTGTCTTTTATCTCTTCTTCTCCTTCATGTCCTTTTCCCTTCCCTTCCCTTCATCTTGCCTTGGTGCTTCTCTGTGCATTTCTTCCACAAGTGGAAGTTTCGTGGCGATGTAGAATTTTTCCCACCCTCCCGTCTCTCTTGACGCACGGGTCCGTTTCATGGCAACCGACGTGCCAGCATGTTACCCTGGATTTGGGAAAAGGCTGGGTGGTGGCCAACGTCTCAGAAAGCCCACGAACAATGAGGCATCAGACCTGGAGATCGTTGCCAAAGTTCTACCACCCAACCGCCAACTCTGGTCTTCTCCTGCAACTCAAGCTATGGTTTGCCAACAGCCAAGTCTTGGAGAGGCTAAAGCAGCCATTTCCTCTCTTGGCGTGGCTTTCAGCACGAGAGGCTGTAGCTGAAGGGAAGCAAATTAAGAAGCTCCGTCTTGGAAGAAAAAGAGATTAGAGACACGGTGTCCTCTGAATGGAAATGTCAGACCTGCCAGCACTTAAACCTCTACATAGCAATAGCAATGGCACTTAGACTTATATACTGCTTCACAGTGCTTGACAGCCCTAAGCGGTTTACAGAGTCAGCCTGTGTCTCCCCCCCTCCCAACCATTTGGGTCCTCATTTTACTGACCTTGGAAGGACGGAAGGCTGAGTTAACGTTGAGCTGGTCAGGATCGAACTCCTGGCAGTGGGCAGAATTAGCCTGCAACAATGCATTCTAACCACTGCGCCACCAGGGTCCGTCCCTTCCTTCCTTCCTTCCTTCCTTCCTTCCTTCCTTCCTTCCTTCCTTCCTTCCTTCCTTCCTTCCTTCCTTCCTTCCTTCCTTCCTTCCTTCCTTGTCCCTTAGCAATAGCACTTAGACTTATACACCACAGTGCCTTTACAGCCCTCTCTAAGCGGTTTACAGAGTCAGCCTCTTGGGCCCCAACAATCTGGGTCCTCATTTATGGATGGATGGATATGGAGAGATAGGTAGATGTGGATGTTGGATGGATAGATAGATATGGAGAGATGAATAGAGAAGAGATGGATGGATACGGAGAGATGGATAGAGAGATGTGGATGATGGATGGACGGACAGACAGACAGACAGACCGATAGATGACAGAGAGACATAGATAGATAGATAGATAGATAGATAGATAGATAGATAGATAGATAGATAGATAGATAGATAGATAGATAGATAGATAGATAGATGATAGATAGATAGATAGATAGATAGATAGATAGATAGATAGATAGATAGATAGATAGATAGATAATGATAAAGATAAAGATAAAGACAGATAGATAGATAGATAGATAGATAATGATAAGATAGATATAGATAGATAATGATAGATAGATAGATAGATAGATAGATAATGATGAAGATAGATAGATAGATAGATAGATAGATAGATAATGATGAAGATAGATAACGATAAGATAGATATAGATAGATAATGATAGATAGAGAATGATAAAGATAGATAGATAGATAGATAGATAGATAATGATATAGATAGATAATAGATAGATAGATAGATAGATAGATAATGATAAAGATAGATAGATAGATAATGATAGATAGATAGATAGATAATGATAAAGATAGATAATGATAGATAATGATGAAGATAGATAGATAGATAATGAAGATAGATAGATGATAGATAGATAGATAGATGATAGATAATGATGAAGATAGATAGATAGATAGATAGATAGATAGATAGATAGATAATGATGACGATAGACAGATTTAAAAATATAATTGAGTTTCAGTAATCAGGATGACTCAGAAGCATTTGAGAATGCATTCAATTCTTGCCCATTCCTGGACTGCTGATTTTTCTTAAGTGAACAGATTTCTTAATTCGTCTGCGCATCCAACATTTTCCTTGACTCCGACGCCTTCAGTATTGAGAGCAAACACGAAGTCACAATCCTAGGAGGACTCAACGAATTTGTAGTGAAGTTTTATGGACCACAAGGAAGTAGGTATACTCCCGAGTCGCATAAAGATGTTGGAAAGAAACATTTTTTTTTCTTGGTGGTTGATCTCTGGAGGGTGGAGGGAGGATTGGGAAAAAATAAGAGATAATTTGGGGAGGTGTCCAATGCCCATGTTGGCACAGGAGACATTTTACACTGGGTTAAGCCTCAAATCCCTCTTAAGTGGGCATTGCCTTCTCTGGCTGCCGATAGCTGTCAAAATTAATGTATTTAGAAGCCAGCAGCTAAAATCTCGAAATAAGAAATACTAACCTACTGATGCAAGCTCTTAATCCTCCAACCTGTTTGTTAGAATTGAGTGTCCAGCTAAATCAGTGGTTCTCAACCTGTGGGTCGGGACCCCATTTGGGGTCGATCGACCATTTCACGGGGGTCGCCAAGCAAGGCTGTCTGCCATTTTTTTTTGTCCGCCATTTTTTTTGTCCGCCATTTTTTTCCCCCTTTTCCGGCGGGTGCCTTACCTCCCTTGGGCTGGGCCAGCTGGTGGTCGGCCTGCTCCGTCTCTGCCGCTTGCCAGCTACGCCTCGGCCGGCGCAGGGGGCGGAACCACGCATGCGCGGCGCTCCTGGGCAGGGGAAGTCCTCGACTTACGACCGGTTGGGTAGTCCTCGACTTACGACCAGTTGGGGTCGCGGCATTAAAAAGGTTGAGAACCACTGAGCTAAATAATAATGTTATATTTGGAAGCATCAAGGAAATATCCAGCTAACCTTTCTTTTGTAAAAATCTTCCAATTGCAGCACCGTACGAAGGTGGGGTGTGGAAAGTTCGAGTGGACCTTCCCGACAAATACCCTTTCAAATCCCCATCTATAGGTAAGAGATTAAACATTGCCATTTAATAAAAAAAAATCCCATCTGGGACAAATTCCACAAAGGCCATCGAGAGCAAGTTTATAGTTCAGCTTATGAGGAACCCTCTATAAAGTTTTTTAAATGGTTATCACTTAAATGCGAGCCAGCCGTGTGCTGCAGCAGCCAAAAAGGCCAACACGGTCCTAGGCTGCATTAACAGAGGGATAGAATCAAGATCAGGTGAAGGGTTAATACCGCTTTACAAGGCCTTGGTAAGGCCACACTTGGAATGCTGCATCCAATTTGGGTCACCACGATGTAAAAAAGATGTTGAGACTCTAGAAAGAGTACAGAGAAGAGCAACAAAGATGATTAGGGGACTGGAGGCTAAAATATATAGGGAACGGTTGCTGGAATTGGGTATGTCTAGTTTAATGAAGAGAAGGACGAGGGGGGACATGATAGCAGTCTTCCAGTATCTCAGGGGCTGCCCCAAAGAAGAGGGAGTCAAGCTGTTTTCCAAAGCACCAGAAGGGCAGGACAAGAAGCAACGGATGGAAACTAATCAAGGAGAGAAGCAACCTGGAACTAAGGAGAAACTTCCTGAAAGTTATAACAATTAACCAGTGGAACAACCTGCCTCCAGAAGCGGTGAATGCTCCAACACTGAAAGTTTTTAAGAAGAGACTGGACAGCCATTGGTCTGAAATGGTGTAGTGCTTCCTGCCTGAGCAGGGGGTTGGACTAGATGACCCCCAAGGTCCCTTCCAACTTTATTATTATTATTATCATTATTATTATTATGGATCATCGCACAGTCAGCCAGATGTTCAGACTGGATTTGGCATTTTGTCTACCTATCGAGTCCTTACCAAGGACCCGGGAGAGGCAGATGTGGATGTTTGATGGTATTACAGATCTCGTCGCAGGATGAAAGCAGTTCCTAGTAAGGCCGCCTTTTGTAATTGACTAATGGCGAATTTGTCAATGCCAATGGTGTTCAAGTGGTGCTCCAGTTGTTGTTGTTATTATTATTATTATTATTATTAGTAGTAGTAGTAGTAGTAGTAGTAGTAGTAGTAGTTGTGCATGGCTCAAACCACTGGAGTTTTACTTTCCTTCACTATTCAAGATCCCAGATAATTTGCTTTTTAGATGCATTCAGTCCTTAATGCTGGAGTCCTGAACAGTCTCTCCTGAACCCGACAATTCACCTCTGGAATCGGCTGCCAGCTCCTTTTTGGGGAAGTCGAGTACAGAGACGCCACGACTTGGCGACCACAACAGAGCCCCAAATTTCCATTGCTAAGGAAGGCAGTGGTTCAGCGAGTTTCACCCGGTTTTTATGTCACCGCTATTAAGCGAATCACTAAAAGCAGTTAAGCAAAATCTGGCTTTCCCCATTGACTTTGCTTGTCCGAAGCTGAATGGGATGGTCGCAAAAGGTGATCGCGTGATTTGCACCCGGGATGGTGCAAAACTGTCGTAAATACCGGCCGGTTGCCTTTTGACCACCTGCCCATGAGGAGATACAAGGCCGGGGTCTTCAAACTTGGCCCTTTTATGAACTTGTCGGACTTCAACTCCCAGAATTCGAGGGATACTGGGAGTTGAAGTCCACAAGTCCTAAAAGGGCCAAGTTTGAAGACCCCTGATATAAATCTTTGGGTTGGAAGTCACTTTTCCAGGGGACTGTTGTAATTTCAAACGGTTGCTGAACAAATGGCCGTAAGTTGAGGACTTCCCGTAATGTCATGGTTTCAAGAACTGGAGATTGAGAATCCTTGGATAGAGTGACTCCATAAACAAGGATGGTGGTTATTGACAACTTAAGAAAGTCACTTAGAGCAGGAGTCTCCAAACGTGGCCAAAGACTTGGGCAGAATTCCCAAGAACTCCCAGAATTCCTCAGCCATCCTGAGTTAGAATAATTAATTAAACTATTAATTAACTAACAGAGCAATTAACCAGTGGAGCGACTTGCCCCCAAATGTTGTGGGTGCTCCAACACTGGAAGAGATGGGACAGCCATTTGTCTGAAAGGGTATATAGTGCCTTCCTGCCTGAGCAGGGGGTTGGACTAGAAGACCTCTAAGGTCCCTTCCAACTCTGTTCTTCTGAGGAATTCTGGGAGTTGAAGTCCACAAGTCTTAGAAGTTGTTAAGCTGGGAGACCCCTTGATTTAGAGCAGGGGTAGGCAACCTTGGCTCTTTTATGACTCCTGGACTTCAACTCCCAGAATTCCTGAGTCAGCATGGCTGACTCAGGAATTCTGGGTATTGAAGTCCACAAGTCATAAAAGAGCCCACCCCTTGACTTAGACCGGGGGGTTCTTCAAACGTGGCTCTTTTATGACTTGTGGACTTCAACTCCCAGAATTCCTGAGTCAGCTTGCCTGGCTGAGGAATTCTGGGAGTTGAAGTCCACAAGCCATAACAGGGCCCAGTTTGAAGACCCCTGACTCAGAGGATTGAATTTGAGGGAAATTTTTCCACCGTTAAGCTCTTCTATCTCCTTTTGGCAAGTGCTGAATGTTTGCTTGATGCTCAATTGTTCTCACGTCTCGTGTTTCTCTCCCTCCTAGGATTCATGAATAAAATTTTTCATCCCAACATTGACGAAGCGTAAGTGACTTTGGTTTGCACTGAAATTATATTTTATTTGAGGGGGGGAATATGGTGACGTTTGGTTTTCTACATTTCTCCAGTCCCACAACAGGAGGCGAGTAAAAAAGGTAAAAGTCAGTATTTCTCAACCTTCGGGCCTTTAAGTTGGGTGGATTTCAACTCCCTCAGAATTCCCCGGGCAGAGAATTCTGGGACTTGAAGTCCACCCATCTTAAAGGCCCCAAAGTTGAGAAACACTGACTTAAAAGAGATTTTAAGCACCAGTTATCTCAGGGGTCTTCAAACTTGGCCCTTTTATGACTTGTGGACTTCAACTCCCAGAATTCCTCAGCCAGCCAAGTCATAACAGGGCCAAGTTTGAAGACCCCTGTCTCAAATCTAACAAACAAAATGGAGGCTGGCTGAGGAATTCTGGGAGTTGAAGTCCACAAGTCATAAAAGGGCCAAGTTTGAAGAGCCCTGTCTTAAATCTAACAAACAAAAATGGAGGCTGGCTGAGGAATTCTGGGAGTTGAAGTCCACAAGTCATCAAAGGGCCAAGTCTGAAGACCCCTGNTGTCTTTTATCTCTTCTTCTCCTTCATGTCCTTTTCCCTTCCCTTCCCTTCATCTTGCCTTGGTGCTTCTCTGTGCATTTCTTCCACAAGTGGAAGTTTCGTGGCGATGTAGAATTTTTCCCACCCTCCCGTCTCTCTTGACGCACGGGTCCGTTTCATGGCAACCGACGTGCCAGCATGTTACCCTGGATTTGGGAAAGGGCTGGGCGGTGGCCAACGTCTCAGAAAGCCCACGAACAATGAGGCATCAGACCTGGAGATCTTTGCCAAAGTTCTACCACCCAACCGCCAACTCTGGTCTTCTCCTGCAACTCAAGCTATGGTTTGCCACCAGCCAAGTCTTGGGAGAGGCTAAAGCAGCCATTTCCTCTCTTGGCGTGGCTTCCAGGATGAAAGGCTGTAGCTGAAGGGAAGCAAATTAAGAAGCTCCGTCTTGGAAGAAAAAGAGATTAGAGACACGGTGTCCTCTGAATGGAAGTGTCAGACCTGCCAGCACTTAAACCTCTACATAGCAATAGCAATGGCACTTAGACTTATATACTGCTTCACAGTGCTCGACAGCCCTCTCTAAACGGTTTACAGAGTCAGCCTGTGTCTCCCCCCCCCCAACCATTTGGGTCCTCGTTTTACTGACCTTGGAAGGACGGAAGGCTGAGTTAACTTTGAGCCGGTCAGGATCGAACTCCTGGCAGTGGGCAGAATTAGCCTGCAACAATGCATTCTAACCACTGCGCCACCAGGGTCCGTCCCTTCCTTCCTTCCTTCCTTCCTTCCTTCCTTCCTTCCTTCCTTCCTTCCTTCCTTCCTTCCTTCCTTCCTTCCTTCCTTCCTTGTCCCTTAGCAATAGCAGTTAGACTTATACACCACTTCACAGTGCTTTACAGCCCTCTCTAAGCTGTTTCCAAAGTCAGCTTTTTGCGCCCCAACAATCTGGGTCCTCATTTATGGATGGATGGATATGGAGAGATAGGTAGATGTGGATGTTGGATGGATAGATAGATATGGAGAGATGAATAGAGAAGAGATGGATGGATACGGAGAGATGGATAGAGAGATGTGGATGATGGATGGATGGACAGACAGACAGATAGATGACAGAGACATAGATAGATAGATAGATAGATAGATAGATAGATAGATAGATAGATAGATAGATAGATAGATAGATAGATAGATAGATAGATAATATAGATAGATAGATAGATAGATAGATAATGATAAGATAGATATAGATAGATAATGATAGATAGATAGATAATGATAAAGATAGATAGATAATGATGAAGATAGATAGATAGATAATGATAAGATAGATAGATAATGATAAGATAGATATAGATAGATAATGATAGATAGATAGATAGATAGATAATGATAAAGATAGATAGATAGATAGAGATATAGATAGATATAGATAGATAATGATAGATAGATAGATAGATAGATAGATAATGATATAGATAGATAGATAGATAGATAATGATATAGATAGATAGATAGATAGATAGATAGATAATGATGAAGATAGATAGATAGATAGATAATGATGAAGATAGATAGATAGATAGATAGATAGATAATGATGAAGATAGATAGATAGATAGATAGATAGATAGATAATGATGAAGATAGATAGATAGATAGATAGATAGATAGATAGATAGATAGATAGATAGATAGATAATGATGAAGATAGACAGATTTAAAAATATAATTGAGTTTCAGTAATCAGGATGACTCAGAAGCATTTGAATGCATTCAATTCTTGCCCATTCTTGGACTGCTGATTTTTCTTAAGTGAACAGATTTCTTAATTCGTCTGCGCATCCAACATTTTCCTTGACTCCGACGCCTTCAGTATTGAGAGCAAACACGAAGTCACAATCCTAGGAGGACTCAACGAATTTGTAGTGAAGTTTTATGGACCACAAGGAAGTAGGTATACTCCCGAGTCGCATAAAGATGTTGGAAAGAAACATTTTTTTTTTCTTGGTGGTTGATCTCTGGAGGGTGGAGGGAGGATTGGGAAAAAATAAGAGATAATTTGGGGAGGTGTCCAATGCCCATGTTGGCACAGGAGACATTTTACACTCAAATCCCTCTAAGTGGGCATTGCCTTCTCTGGCTGCCGATAGCTGTCAAAATTAATGTATTTAGAAGCCAGCAGCTAAAATCTCGAAATAAGAAATACTAACCCACTGATGCAAGCTCTTAATCCTCCAACCTGTTTGTTAGAATTGAGTGTCCAGCTAAATCAGTGGTTCTCAACCTGTGGGTCGGGACCCCATTTGGAGTCGATCGACCATTTCACGGGGGTCGCCAAGCAAGGCTGTCTGCCATTTTTTTTTGTCCGCCATTTTTTTTCCCCCTTTTCCGGCGGGTGCCTTACCTCCCTTGGGCTGGGCCAGCTGGTGGTCGGCCTGCTCCGTCTCTGCCGCTTGCCAGCTACGCCTCGGCCGGCGCAGGGGGAGGAACCACGCATGCGCGGCGCTCCCGGGCAGGGGAAGTCCTCGACTTACGACCGGTTGGGTAGTCCTCGACTTACGACCAGTTGGGGTCGCGGCATTAAAAAGGTTGAGAACCACTGAGCTAAATAATAATGTTATATTTGGAAGCATCAAGGAAATATCCAGCTAACTTTTCTTTTGTAAAAATCTTCCAATTGCAGCACCGTACGAAGGTGGGGTGTGGAAAGTTCGAGTGGACCTTCCCGACAAATACCCTTTCAAATCCCCATCTATAGGTAAGAGATTAAACATTGCCATTTTAAAAAAAATAATCCCATCTGGGACAAATTCCACAAAGGCCATCGAGAGCAAGTTTATAGTTCAGCTTATGAGGAACCCTCTATAAAGTTTTTTAAATGGTTATCACTTAAATGCGAGCCAGCCGTGTGCTGCAGCAGCCAAAAAGGCCAACACGGTCCTAGGCTGCATTAACAGAGGGATAGAATCAAGATCAGGTGACGGGTTAATACCGCTTTACAAGGCCTTGGTAAGGCCACACTTGGAATGCTGCATCCAATTTGGGTCACCACGATGTAAAAAAGATGTTGAGACTCTAGAAAGAGTACAGAGAAGAGCAACAAAGATGATTAGGGGACTGGAGGCTAAAATATATAGGGAACGGTTGCTGGAATTGGGTATGTCTAGTTTAATGAAGAGAAGGACGAGGGGGGACATGATAGCAGTCTTCCAGTATCTCAGGGGCTGCCCCAAAGAAGAGGGAGTCAAGCTGTTTTCCAAAGCACCAGAAGGGCAGGACAAGAAGCAACGGATGGAAACTAATCAAGGAGAGAAGCAACCTAGAACTAAGGAGAAATTTCCTGGCAATGAGAACAATTAACCAGTGGAACAACCTGCCTTCAGAAGTGGTGAATGCTTCAACACTAAAAGTTTTTAAGAAGAGACTGGACAGCCATTGGTCTGAAATGGTGTAGTGCTTCCTGCCTGAGCAGGGGGTTGGACTAGATGACCCCCAAGGTCCCTTCCAACTTTATTGTTATTATTATTATTATTATTATTATGGATCATCGCAGTCAGCCAGATGTTCAGACTGGATTTGGCATTTTGTCTACCTATCGAGTCCTTACCAAGGACCCGGGAGAGGCAGATGTGGATGTTTGATGGTATTACAGATCTCGTCGCAGGATGAAAGCAGTTCCTAGTAAGGCCGCCTTTTGTAATTGACTAATGGCGAATTTGTCAATGCCAATGGTGTTCAAGTGGTGCTCCAGTTGTTATTATTATTATTAGTATTAGTAGTAGTAGTAGTAGTAGTAGTAGTAGTAGTAGTAGTAGTAGTGCATGGCTCAAACCACTGGAGTTTTACTTTCCTTCACTATTCAAGATCCCAGATAATTTGCTTTTTTAGATGCATTCAGTCCTTAATGCTGGAGTCCTGAACAGTCTCTCCTGAACACCTCTGGAATCGGCTGCCAGCTCCTTTTTGGGGAAGTCGAGTACAGGGACGCCACGACTTGGCGACCACAACAGAGCCCCAAATTTCCATTGCTAAGGAAGGCAGTGGTTCAGCGAGTTTCGCCCGGTTTTTATGTCACCGCTATTAAGCGAATCACTAAAAGTAGTTAAGCCAAATCTGGCTTTCCCCATTGACTTTGCTTGTCCGAAGCTGAATGGGATGGTCGCAAAAGGTGATCGCGTGATTTGCACCCGGGATGGTGCAAAACTGTCATAAATACCAGCCGGTTGCCTTTTGACCACCTGCCCATGAGGAGATACAAGGCCGGGGTCTTCAAACTTGGCCCTTTTATGAACTTGTCGGACTTCAACTCCCAGAATTCGAGGGATACTGGGAGTTGAAGTCCACAAGTCCAACAAGGGCCAAGGTTGAAGACCCCTGATATAAATCTTTGGGTTGGAAGTCACTTTTCCAGGGGTCTGTTGTAATTTCAAACGGTTGCTGAACAAATGGCCGTAAGTTGAGGACTTCCCGTAATGTCATGGTTTCAAGAACTGGAGATTGAGAATCCTTGGATAGAGTGACTCCATAAACAAGGATGGTGGTTATTGACAACTTAAGAAAGTCACTTAGAGCAGGAGTCTCCAAACGTGGCCAAAGACTTGGGCAGAATTCCCAAGAACTCCCAGAATTCCTCAGCCATCCTGAGTTAGAACAATTAATTAAACTATTAATTAACTAACAGAGCAATTAACCAGTGGAGCGACTTGCCCCCAAATGTTGTGGGTGCTCCAACACTGGAAGAGATGGGACAGCCATTTGTCTGAAAGGGTATATAGCGCCTTCCTGCCTGAGCAGGGGGTTGGACTAGAAGACCTCTAAGGTCCCTTCCAACTCTGTTCTTCTGAGGAATTCTGGGAGTTGAAGTCCACAAGTCTTAGAAGTTGTTAAGCTGGGAGACCCCTTGATTTAGAGCAGGGGTAGGCAACCTTGGCTCTTTTATGACTCCTGGACTTCAACTCCCAGAATTCCTGAGTCAGCATGGCTGACTCAGGAATTCTGGGTATTGAAGTCCACAAGTCATAAAAGAGCCCACCCCTTGACTTAGACCGGGGGGGTCTTCAAACGTGGCTCTTTTATGACTTGTGGACTTCAACTCCCAGAATTCCTGAGTCAGCTTGCCTGGCTGAGGAATTCTGGGAGTTGAAGTCCACAAGTCATAACAGGGCCCAGTTTGAAGACCCCTGACTTAGAGGATTGAATCTGAGGGAAATTTTTCCACCATTTAGCTCTTCTATCTCCTTTTGGCAAGTGCTGAATGTTTGCTTGATGCTCAATTGTTCTCACGTCTCTCGTGTTTCTCTCCCTCCCAGGATTCATGAATAAAATTTTTCATCCCAACATTGACGAAGCGTAAGTGACTTTGGTTTGCATTGAAATTATATTTTATTTGGGGGGGGGGGGAATGTGGTGACGTTTGGTTTTCTACATTTCTCCAGTTCCACAACAGGAGGCGAGTAAAAAAGGTAAAAGTCAACGTTTCTCAACCTTCGGGCCTTTAATATCGCTGGATTTCAATTCCCTCAGAATTCCCCCGGGCAGAGAATTCTGGGAGTTGAAGTCCACCCATCTTAAAGGCCCCAAAGCTGAGAAACACTGACTTAAAAGAGATTTTAAGTACCAGTTATCTCAGGGGTCTTCAAACTTGGCCCTTTTACGACTTGTGGACTTCAACTCCCAGAATTCCTCAGCCAGCCAAGTCATAAAAGGGCCAAGTTTGAAGACCCCTGTCTTAAATCTAACACCCTGTCTTAAATCTTCCACCCTCTGGAACGAACTACCCCCCGAGATCCGGATGATTCCGGATCTCCTTACTTTCCGCCGCGCCCTCAAGACATGGCTTTTCCAGCAAGCGGGCCTGACCTAAGGAGGATTTTATTTAGGGACGATTTTAAGTATAATTTTAATTGGAACACAGCCTCTAATATTTGGTTTTTAATTTGGTTTTAGAAGGGTTTTATTTTTGTATATTGTTATTGTATCTGTTTTTAATATGCTGTGCACCGCCCTGAGTCCTGCGGGAGAAGGGCGGTATAGAAATTAAAAAATAATAAACAAAAATGGAGGCTGGCTGAGGAATTCTGGGAGTTGAGGTCCACAAGTCATCAAAGGGCCATGTTTGAAGACCCCTGTCTTAAATCTAACAAACAAAATGGAGGCTGGCTGAGGAATTCTGGGAGTTGAAGTCCACAAGTCATCAAAGTGCCAAGTTTGAAGACCCCTGTCTTAAATATAACAAACAAAATGGAGGCTGGCTGAGGAATTCTGGGAGTTGAAGTCCGACAAGCCACAAAAGGGCCGAGTTTGAAGACCCCTGAGTTATCTTCACTTTTTTTCCCCCTAAGGAGAAGCCGAGGAGTTAAGATGGTCTTCCAACTTCCCGTCTCGTGAAAGACGGGGGTCCCTGCATCGCTCAGCCTGCCTTCGGATAAACCTTAGCTAGTCTAGATACCGGAAATGACTTGGCTTAGAAGAGGAGTTATTTTTAAAATGCCAACTAGGAGCCCAGCTGTCACCACGTATTAACTCACCTTGGGTTGATTTAAAGGCAGTCCCCAGTGCCTGCAGCTTTTTTTTGCCTTCTTGGACATTAAGAGAAATTGGGCGTCAATCACAGCCATAACAGCTGCTTCCTCTGGCGTTGCCTCGATTGCCAGATTGGAAATTTAAAAAATTGGAACAGTTGTAGCTTCGCTCGGGTGGGAGACCGTTTCTGGAGCTGTGGCAGGAAACGGTCCCTTTCTGTTAAGGTGGGCCTACAGCTGGCCATTTTTATACAGGTCGTCTTTGTCTTACAACAATTCGTTTAGTGACCGTTCAAAATTACAACAGCACTGAAAAAAAGCAACTTAAGGCCCGTTTTTCACACTTAACCACTATTGCAGCATCCCCGGGGTCACCTGCTCAAAATTCGGACGCTCGGCAACTGACTCACCTTTATGACGGTTGCGGCGTCCCGGGGTCATGGGTTTTGATCACGTGACCGTGTGGACGCTGTGATGGTCGTAAGTGTGAAAAAATGGTCACAAGTCACTTTTTTCAGTGCTGTTGTAACTAGATAGATAGATAGTCAGACAGACATAATTAGAGAGATGATAGATAAATAGATAATTAGAAGATAGATAGATTAGATAGATAGATAGATAGATAGATAGATAGATAGATAGATAGATAGATAGATAGATAGATAGATAGATAGATAGATAGATAGATAGATAGATAGATAGATAGATGGATGATAGGTAGAGATAGATAATGAGAGAGTAGATTGAGTGATTGAGTGATTGATTGAGTGATTGATTGAGTGATTTTGCCCTTGACTGGCTTTAAGCAATGTTTGTCAACCTTGGCGAGATTAAGATGGATGGACTTCAACTCCCAGAATTCCCTAGCCAGCCAGCTTAGCTTAGCTGGCTGGGGAATTCTGGGAGTTGAAGTCACCCATCTTAAGCTCACCAAGGTTGAGAAGTGTTATCTTAGATCCTCTTGAATGAGTCTCTCACTGGGCACTTTTCAACTTCAAAATAGAGGAAATATTTTGCACAATCAATTTTGTGGGGTTCAGTCCCAATTTTCTCCCATACAATGTTAACCTGGTGAACTCTAAATCAGGGGTCTTCAAACTTGGCCCTGTTATGACTCGTGGACTTCAGCTCCCAGAATTCCTCAGCCAGCTAAGCTAAGCTGGCTGGCTAGGGAATTCTGGGAGTTAAAGTCCACAAGTCATCAAAGGGCCAAGTTTGAAGACCCCTGCTCTATTTATTTATTTATTTATTTATTTAATTTATATGCCGCCCTTCTCCCAGCGGGACTCAGGGCGGCGCACAACATATTTAAAACCAAAGCATATATACAATCCCCCCCTTAAAACCGAATTAAACCAAATTTTAAAGTTGTGTCTTCCAAATTCCTAAAAAACCCAGTATAAAATCCACCCTAGGTCAGGTCCGCTTGC